GATTGGATGACTGATAATAAGCTTTCTTTACACTTGAAAACAGAAAGCATTTTATTTTGTTCTAAAAGTAGTTCTAAAAAGTCATTTGAATTCAAAGTTACACGCAATAATCAAGCAATCAAGAGAAAGGAGTCTGTGAAGTATTTAGGCATTGAGTTGGCTGGCGCAATTTCATTTTTATCTTTAGTAGAATCAGTTGTAAAAAAAGCAAATTCTCGTCTGAAATTGTTGTACAGATATCAAAGTTGTATGGATTTAAAAGCAAGACGTACACTCTGTTTTGCTCTTATTCAATGTTTATTTGACTATGCTAACCCTGCATGGTATAGTAACATAAACAAGTCAGATCAAAAGAAGTTGAAGATTATACAGAACAACAAAATGGTGAGATTTATCAACTGTTCTGGTTCAAGAACTCATGTTGGCTACAGCGAACTTTCTAAAGCTGGTTTTCTTGAAGTCGACCAAAGATCAAAACAACTCGTATTGCATCACGTGCATAAAATATATCATACTAGGTCGAATCATTATATTCGATCCAACTTCGATCTTGTTACTGACGTACATGATTATAATACAAGAAATAGCCGATTCAACTTTAACTTACCAGAAAGAGTAGGTAGTATTGGAAATTCGTATTATTACAATGCCATAAAACATTGGAATTCCCTTCCCAATGGTGTAAAAGAAATAGGAAATTATGATCATTTTAAGAGGAAATTAAAGGAATACCTAATACTTGACAGTCAGAGAAGAGAAGTGAATGACATGTTATATGATTGAAATTTTTATTCTTCTGTCGGTTCATACTTTTTCATATTGTATATACTTATGTTTTCGTACGTTATAGAAATTCTACAAATTCATCTTTATTTTCTCTTCTTCCTTCTCCTCTTTTTCTTCCTTCTCCTTCTTCTTTTTCTTCTTGTACTTAATATCATTTCTATCATCAGTTTAATGTTGTTATTATTATTATCTATAATAAGTAGTTCTTTTAATTTTCTTATCTGTCTGTAAATATTACTATTTTAACTTATTAATTAAATACATGTCTGTAAGGGACCCCACTGGAAATAAGCTCTCGAGCTTTCGTGGGTTATCCTGTTCAAGCTGACTTATTTTTGATCTGTTATTATTGTATATTGTTGTATGTTGGAAGCTTGTCGAATAAAAATCAATCAATCAATCAATCTACGTACAACGATACCCAACGATGTTGAACTTATAAGGAGGTACAGATTCGATAGGGAAGGAATAATAGAAATTACAGGAATGATCCATGATGACATCGCACCAAGGGCGAATAGAAACCATGCCATTCAGCCCATTGATAAAGTTCGTGCAGCCTTTCACTTTTACGCGACTGGGTGTTTTCAAACTACTGAAGGGGATACCATGAAGATATCCCAACCATCAGTTTCAAGAATAATTCATCAAGTTTAAAAAAATAATTTAAAAAGAAAATCTGCATTAAAAGTTTATGAGCAGAGGACTGGGTTAGTGGCTAGAGGAGGGCATCTTCTCAAACATATTCTATTTGTCCCCCCTCCGCTCTCTTTTTTTTTTAATTTTTAAAGCCTCATGCACCCCCCTCTTAACTATCAATCCTGGCACTTCACACTGTATAAACACACATTTTTCTCTGCATCTCTTCTCTCTCTCCCCATTTTGTATTTCATCATCACCATCATCATCATGGATTGATCATCTTCCAACAGAGCCCAAATATTTTAACTGTTCATCCAAATCATCAACTTTTTTTTCTTAGTTTGATCTGCTTCGGCATGTTTGGGAAATTATCAACCAAAGCTTATCACTCAGAAGTAATTAGATCTATCATTTTTGTAATTCCAATTTCTTCTTTAATTGGGAAATGTACCTAAACTTTATTAAATCTTTAAATGAATACATGCACTCAATACATTAACGAAACTATTGGATTTTTATGAAGTTTATCTTTTAAATGCTTTTATTAATATTTCGATTATATCAAATAACAGCTATGTATTTTCACTATCAATGACTTGTAACATTTAATGATAACCACTTTCCTTGTAACTTATATATAGTTCCTAAAACCATAATATACTTGCAGTGTTTATATAAAAAATATGCACTTCTCCTAATACAGAATCAATTCAATACATACCTTCAACAATGAGTATATATTTCACAAGATAATCAAAATTGAGGCAACCCGAGGCATTTTCTCAGACCTAAGAGAAATGTCTTAGAAGTTAATAGAATACGGGCCTTGGTGTCCCACACATTACTAAGTATTATGGTATCATAATTATAAATTGATATTAAAATATAATTTTCTTTATTATGTCATCTGAGTCAAGCATCAGTAGGAGCTTGTAAATTATACATTCATCATACATGTATACATTGCTAAAATCTAAGATGTCGCTAGTAACATATGGTACAAATACAAAATAGCTTTCACTCGCCCATGCACATATGAAAAGAACAAACAACGAAATTGGATATATCACGATACAGCATAATGGGAAGATACAACAGTAAAAGAAATTCAGAATGATGTATATATATATATATATATATATATCAGACACCATTTTAAGTGTCCAGTGTTTTTTCTTATCCAAGTTCTGTCAGCCCAGAGCACAATGCATACATATACCATAAGAACATGCATTTACTTGAGATCTCCAGGTTGTCTAAAAATTCAGCCTACTGGTCCTTCAAAGAACTATTCAAGCAAGACCTTCACGAGACCAAAAGTTTCAGTCTCTTTAAGTTCTATAACAAACGTCCAAATGCTTCACGGGGCGTAGTGTTTTGAGAGGGTTTATTGCGGCTTATTATTAGAAACATTCAAAATAGCAGCCATAAGGCTGAAACATATTGAATTTACAACTTAAAACATACAAGAGTAAAAAAAAAATGTCCATTAAAATGTAATGCATTAATACATTTTGATAATTGAGGTAGGCCCTATATTGAAGTAAAAATTAATGGAAATGTTGTACAGCATTGTAATTCATTGACATTTGTAGGAATTCAAATTTATTATACAATGTCATGGCAGGCTCATATCAAAACAATTTGTAATAAACTCTCGATATTAGTTGAATCCAATTGAAAAGTACATGTATTTACAAGTTAAAAGCAAAATAGTCTTAGGACTATGACATAATATATATAAAAATATCATATTAAAACTCTATATCAAAATTCAATGAGTATGGAAAGGAAGAAGGGATGAATGAGGAATAGGAGTAAGGAGCAAGAATTAACAAAAAGTGAGAAAAGAATGAAGGAAAAAGAAAGGAAGGTTAAAGGTAAAGACCAGTAATGGTCATGCGATTGCATTGTGAAAGAAACGTTGTGGAATCGATCAGAAAAGGTTGATCATCTGGCATTTAGCATCTGCAAGGTTCTGGAATCATCAAAATGATAAGAAATTTGGCCCATTCTTCGTAAAGTTACAAGCACTATACACAGAAAGATGTATATGGGACTACCCTATATCTCTCACAGACCATGAGAGACCACAGAGAAACAAATTTACCAAATATATGAATTAGTAGGCGGTTTCCCGGCAAATTTTTTATGATCATGTATTAGTCAAAACATATTCTTTCACATGATTGGTAATGAGAGCTTCCATTTCATTTTTTGAAATTGGGGCGTTTCCAATACTGGTCTTTACCTTTAAGTAAGAGGAATATGTCAAGACAGATGAGGTGAAAAACATGTGTAATGAGCCTTCTATTAATTAGCTTTAGAATGTATAGATCCTCATGACTTGTACAAACCATAAACATATAAAACATGTATTAAATATTATTACACATATTGTGTTTTATCTTTCGTTATGTTATTTGTATGTTCTTTATTTATCTGTAAATATCAATGTTATAATTATGTATGTTTTTATATGACGAATGGAATAAAATGAAATGAAATGAAAAAATATGTTTTGACTTTATAAAAATAAACAAACTCTGCATTAAAAAAAAAAAGATAAAAAAGGATGTTATGGGTCCCAAGACTGGGGGATTCTGTGTAAAACCCACACACACAACCCACGCGCATGCACACACATACACACACATCTACCTTATGCATATACAAGACCTCAAGACTGCATAATAATGATAAATAATAATAAATGAGATTATTATTTTTTTTTATAAGGTGCCTAATCTACTTGAAATCAAATGCTCATGGCGGACTCAAGAACAAAACAAAGAAATGATCCCATAAAAGCAGCTACATCATAAACAAAGAAAAATAAGTATTAAAAATAGAACATACAAAATGACATGACAGTTTATAATATTCCAAAATACAAAGTTACGTTTATCAAGATTATTTTAAACACTTCAACCGATCTGCTATTCCAAGGAGAGCATTCAACAGCAAATGCCCTACATGAGCAAGATTCTTTCCCTCTATTTAGTATTGGGCTTACGAAGAACAATAAATCCGGAATTTTGAGGGCTAAAAGATCTGGGCGGAATGTAATGATGTATCAAAGTAATATTGTACTGTGGAGCAATGAAATAAAGGCAAGTTCTAATATGTTGAAAATGCAGCAGAAGCTTTCATATCTTGGTATAATTTGGATATATTCTACTTTCTCAATTTAAAACCATGATTTTACCAACATTAGGAATAAGAGTATGAATAAGAGTATGAATTAGGAATAAGAGTACAAAAATATAATCACAAACTTTGTTCTACATCTTCAGCGTAAGGTATGTGACATATCATTTGACTGCATGCGTCTCCTTGACACCGTACCAAAATTTTCACATTTCTCTTCAATCATATGACAAAAACTCGTTGTTTAAAATTGAAACCCCCATTTGACTTTCACTACTCCTAGAGCTAAGCCTAAAGTAAACGCTAGACAATGTAACCCCCCTGCCAAGACCTTTGCCAGGTGATAGAGGGAGGGAGAGATATAAGCATGATAGAGGGAGAGAGGAAGGGAGAAAGAGTGCTAATTTTCACAATTAAATTTGTTGTTATATCCCCAATTCTTGGTCATTTTGCTTCGTTTGAACTTTCATTATGGTCTTCATCTTAATTATAAATGACTTTTGGACAGGAAAATATCTTAAAACAAGTAAAATATATATTTCCTACTTCTCATCTCCTTTCAGGCAGAGCCCCAGTAAGAGTTTGTTTACACTATTACGTAAGATGATGAAGAGTACAGCTGCCATCTCTCACACAGAACTGCAAGGCTCTGTCCAAGTTTAAACGAGAGAATCAAAATTGGGGTATAGCTATACCCCACCTGGCTTACATAGGTTCCTGTGTTATAGTGGTGGGGTATTAGTGGCTCTGTCAAAACGAGAGAGGCGAAATTGGGGTAGCTATACCCCACCTGGTTTACATTGGTTCCTGTGTTATAGTGGTGGGGTATAGTTTTAACCAGAGCTTTTCGTAATGATACAGGCACTTCTTTAGCGGAGAAACATGTACACAAGTAGAGACAAAATGGCGCCAATAGTGACATAGATCTTGATGAAGGACCTCTGACTTTCTTTAAACGCTTGTAAACCTTCCCTCGCATCTTTACGCACTGACGTCAATGTAATACCATGTACCTGGTTCTCTTTGCCGTCAATAAGAGCCTGTCTCGCACCGGGCGTGGCCCCGGGACCAACTAACCTGTGCGAGGGTGGGTAGGCCGGTGTGAAGTAGAAGTAGTAAGCTAGTACAGGATCGGTGAAGAGAAGCTTTGTCAAACTTGGTAGCGCCCCGATCGCTTTGGCTAGCTGATCACGGTATGCGGTTGGGTTGAGCTGAGGAAAATAACAAAGTAATGGTTGTATCTTTTGTGAAGAGCGGAAATAAAAAGAAGGGTTGGTATTTCAATGGCAAACGAGAACAAATATGAGGTATATCTGTGTAATTTGGGCCCGTTTGAACTGAGGCATATACAGTGCATATATAATAAAGGTATACCCATCTTTGGTAGATTCCTATTTAATGTTTAACAAATTTCTTTTAAAACTAGATGGAACTTCGACTGCGTGCAGTCGAAAATGATGCCTCCGCCAGAGCGATTTCACAAACAAACAAACAAAAGCAATTTTTCAAATTCAAGTTTAATTGTAATCCATTAACAGGTTCTCAGAATATCGTGATTACAAGCTATTTTTCATATAGGCCTACATGTAAGACCCTTTCATCTTTGACCTCATGATCCTAAAATCTAATCAGTTTATTGGCTTTGCAATTAAGATACATACATGTCTTGAGTTTGATGGTAATTCGTCCATCGGTTCTAATAATAATGCGATCACAAGCTATTTTTGCATATATGATGAGCCCCAAGACCTTTGACCTTATGACCCCGATCTAATCAGTTAATTGGCTCAGCAAGATACATACATGTCCTGCGTTTGATGGTAATCTGTCCATCGGTTCTAATGATGTGATCACCAGCTATTTATGCATACATAATGAGCCCTGTGACCTTTGACCTAATGACTCCAAAATCTGATCAATTCATTGGCTCTGCAAGATACATACATGACCTAACTTTGGCTGGAATTCATCAATTGGTTCTTGGGATAATGCGATCACGATTTATTTTTGAATACATAATGAGCACTGTGACCTGTGACCTTTGACCTTTGATCCGTGACCCCAAAATCTACTCAATTCATTCGGCTTTGCAAGATACATACATGACCAAAGTTTGGCAGGAATCCATCAATTGGTTCTTGAGATAATGCAATTTTTTTTGGACTCCAAAAAAAAAAAAAAAAAAAAAAAAAGTGTCCGCTTACCCCCCCCCCCCCCCCCCCCCCCCCACTGAGCGACTTTTTGGCCGGCACGATTTTCAAATTTTCCTGAGTCGTTGCAAAATTTTGGGCCCAATTTTAAACCCCCCCCCCCCCCCTGAAAGAATCCTGCGTACGCCACTGGGCCCAAACAATGCGCCTATCCACTGGAATGCAATGGCGCCACATGGCGCCACTTGGCGCCAAGTTACACCTTGTTTGCGCCACTGCTCATCATCATCATCATCTTCTGATGTAGCAGCATCATCACTCCAACATTATCAAAAGCCTCAGACATATCAAAATTGTAAATATTTAGTAGAGATGTTGTTCATACAGCAGTTGAGGAGGGTCTGAACCAGGTAGCCGATGGCCGGTATTTATATAGTCGGCAAGTAGCGCCAAGCGGCGGCAAGTTCAAACCAATTTGGCGACCTTTGGCACAAACTAATCACCAAGTGGCGCAAAGTAGCCGTCTATTGGCGCGAATGGCGCCAACAGGGTGAATTTTGGAATCAAATGGCCGTGTAATGGCGCGAACTGGCGCAACATTTTGGAGTTCTAAAAAAAAATCGTTCTAAATATATCGCAGTAATTGACGAACGGACAACCCCAAAACATAATGAATCCGTCACTACCTATATGTGGAGGTGTACAAAGAAAAGATGACAAGAATGAAGACTCTTCTCACAGGCTCAACTTCTTCAGTGCATTAGTGGAGCACTATATGGTAAATTGGCGAAGGCTCTTGACTCCTGATCATACCAGAAGTCCCGAGTTCGTATCTTGCTTTGTGCTTACAAATTATTATTAGTCGTTGCTTGTTCAGTTAAAACAAAAAATCACAGACAGACTTACTATGCATGAGGTGTAATCTGAAAATTGTTTGTAGTTCAGGTCCTTTCTGGTTATAACCTCCTGTTATAACCTCCAGGATTTGAATCTTGCTCTGCGCTTACAAATCTTTATTAATCGTTGCTAGTTGAGTTTTAACAAAAAACCACAGACAGAACTTACTATGAATGGGCAGTGATCTTGAAATTGTTTGTAGTTCAGGTCCTTTCTGGTTATAACCTCCTGTTGCATGTCCGTGAGGCTAGGTAGCTTGACCTCTCCTTTGATGACCTTTGTGATGTACCTTGCCTGCATCTCAGAGAGTCCGTTGACACCCATGGTGTAGGGAAGACAGATCCCCACAAAGGATAGGGTGGGGTGGCAAAATTTAGTTGGAAACATGTACTGATACAGCTCTATCTTATCGTATCCATCTAAAAGAAGAAGAAGCACAAGAAATTAAGTTGGAAACATGTACTGAAACAGCTCTATCTTATCGTATCTATCTAAAATAATACATCAGGAGTTTTGGAAACACGACAGACATCGGGAGTTTGGGAAATACGACAGACATCGTGAGCTTGGGAAACATGGCATCAGGAGTTTGGGAAACATGACATAGGAAGTAAGGTAACATGAGGACAGGAGTTTGGGAAGCAAGACATTCATGCCCCTAAAGCAAAATACATCTGATTATTTGAACCAACCCACCTGGTATGACTTCCTCCTTGAAGAAAGGGAACTTGAGCCTGTAGCCTGTGCCAAAGATGACACAGTCAATGTCTTCAATCACCGCACCATCTACAAAATGGACACTCGAACCTTCAAATCTTTCTATCCCACTCCTGATTCTCACTCTTCCTTCCATGATACTAGCAGGCAGGTCTTCACCGACCATTGCATGGACAGAGAATGGGGGTTTGAAGTGCTGTATACCCAGCATCTCCCCATTCATGTGGTAGTTCAGCTTGTTTAACAGCCAGTTCTTAAAGAGTCGTGGGGGAATCCAAGTCTTCCATCTCTGTTCGAGGAAATCCTGGACGAATTGATTGTTGTAAAAGAATCGTGGAATACACCACGCTCCTTTCCGCATGCTCAGGTATACCTGGAAATCAAATAAAAAGAAAAAACATCAGATGTGCATAAATGTTAAGGAGTCGTGGGGGAATCCAAGCCTTCCATCTCTGTTCGAGGAAAAATAGTGGAATAAACCATGCTCTTCGTCGCAAGCTCAGGTATACCTGGCAATCGAATGAAAACAAAAAACCCTTCAGAGTTGCTTCTCTTAGAATAAAATCCATGGTGTATCTACAAAAACATTAAAATCACTTGAAATATTCCTAATTTTTCTACTGCCCAGTATATAGCGATCCTCAGGAAAACCTGCAAAAAATAACAGCAAGAAAGCCTACCAGCTTGTGAAAGAACTGACATGCTCAAAACAAGGGAGAACTACTATCATCGAAGACAAAACAGGGAAATGTCTCACAGAAGAACAAGATATTCGAAAGAGGCGGACAGAGTATTGTTCCGAATTATATACACACACAATATTAAGAGATCCCAAGGTGCTAGATGTCCCTCCACCAACAATGACAGCTACCTTATCCTGCGGGAAGAAGTTGAAGCCACAGTAAAATCTCTGAAGAAAGGCAAGTCGGCAGGAGTGGACAACATTTCATCGGAGCTGGTCCAGGCAGGAGGAGAGGCCATGATAGATATGTTACTCATCATCTGCAACAAGATCTGGCAGACAGGAGAGTGGCCATCACCTTGGACTCAGTCCCTGATCATCACTCTCCCCAAGAAGGGCAACCTACAACTATGCCAAAACTACCGTACCATCAGCCTGATCAGTCATCCAAGTAAGGTCATGCTAAGAATCCTCCTGAATAGACTGAAGCCACAAGCTGAGGAGATCATCAAAGAAGAACAGACAGGTTTCAGAGCAGGAAGGAGCACAACTGAGCAAATTCTAAATCTTACAATACTCTGTGAGAAGTACCTGCAACACCAGCAAAACCTTTACCACGTCTTTGTGGACTTCAAGAAGGCCTTCGACAGAGTTTGGCATGCAGCTTTATGGGCAACCATGAGGCTGTATAACATCAACGCCAACCTGATCAGAACGATAGAATGCCTCTACGACAAGGCAACCAGTGCAGTCTACCTTGACAACAACATAGGAGAATGGTTCCGAACACAATCGGAGTACGTCAAGGATGTCTACTCTCCCCCACTCTCTTCAACATCTTTCTAGAGAGAATAATGGATGACGCACTTAAAACCCATGAAGGAACAGTCAGCATCGGAGGCAAGATAATTACAAACTTGTGTTTTGCTGACGACATTGACGGCCTAGCTGGACAAGATCAAGAGCTAGTCAACTTGGTAAATCACCTTGAAAAGACCTCCACATCATATGGCATGCAGATCAGTGCAGAAAAGACCTGGTTGATGACAAATAACACCAATGGCATTAGCACCGACATTACCGTAAATGGCAAGAAACTGGAGACAGACCGTAGCTTTAAATATCTGGGAGCTGTAGTATCGGATGAGGTATCCAAGCTTGAAGTACTCTCCAGGATAGCCCAGACCACAGCTGCAGTGACCAAACTAAAAGTCATCTGGACAGACAAAAACATCGCCATCAGCTCCAAGATCAGACTGATGCGCTCCCTGGTCATGTCCATATTTTGTATGCATGTGAAACGTGGACCATAACAGCAGACACTGGAGAAGACTCGGTATCTCGTACAGAAATCACATAACCATATAACCAATGAGGTAGTGAAAACCAAAATTGAAAACGGCATCGGGCCGTATGAAGACCTCCTGATTTCAGTAAAAAGACGCAAACTGAAGTGGTACAGGCACGTCACATGATCATCTGGACTGGCCAAGACTATCCTACAGGAAACAGTACAGGGAGGAAGACGAAGAGGCAGACAGAAGAAACGATGGGAAGACAACATCAAAGAATGGATTGGCCTTGACTGGAACATCATACGGCGGAAAGCTGAGAACTGCGAGGAATGGAGGAAGCTGTTCGTAAAATTTACAGTGGTGCCCCAACGGTCAGCCAGACTACGGGACAGATGAGATGAGATGAGAGAGGATGCTTGCTAGCCCTAGAATTACTGTATCCTACTCAGTGCCTATGGTGGCCCTTAAACAGACTAGTAAACTTCCAAAAATGAGGGAATCAATTTCACTGTTAATTTCAGAAGAAGAATCTTTTCACATGAAAAATAAGGATATCAAGATTAACAGATTTGGTATAGGGGTTCTTGTTTTGGGAGCATTTAGGAACACCCTGTAGGAGTTCAGGTTTGTCAAGTATAAATGAAACTGATTTTTAAACACTCTAGATAATTTCATGTCTGTGTTTAAAGGGTTAATTATATAGGCTTAATAATTATATCTTTGCCTCAGATTCTAAACAAAATTCTTGATTTAGCTCATTTTGCAATCATAATTATAAACCTGTAGATCCGTCGGGAATCCCATGACTTTTACAAGCCGATCGCATGTTTGATTATCAAGATATCTATGATTGGAATGTTAAATTTCAGAATTCGCTTTCCAGACGGTTTTTATGACACTATACAGTCTATTGGGAAAAATGAGTATGGTAAAACTGGTCACTCAAAGATTTTTACTTTTTTGAGGCACTTCATGATATTTCGTAACACTGGGGGAAGCATCACCAAAAGTTATAGGTGTTGAGATTATACCACGATACACCTCCATACAAAATTTGAAAAATATCTGTCAAGGAATGTGGCAGTTAGAGCGCAGACAAAAATATGACGCGGCGGCGTATAACGCTGCTGTACCCCACCGGCATACTGCCGGGGGATACAATAAGGGATGACGAATCTGCCCCTGAAGGTGGGAGGCCTTTGTGTGGTTGTAGATCAGTCCCAGGCGTAAATGTCTGTTAAATCCCAATTACACACACGCACACTTACCTGACTTGCATGATGACTGACAATGGTGGAAATGTCTCCTCCTGAGGTCCCTGAACCTGTGTGCATGAATAAAGCAAAAAATGTCAAAATCGGGGGTGCGGCCTATACGGCGATGCAGCCTTAACGCCGGCAAATACAGTATCAGGTTAATAAGGTTAAAAACTTGAAAGTCATAATCAAAAACATATAATTAAGGGTATCAACAATCCAATTAAGATTACCTGAAACAGTTTTCAACTTCGGTTTAGGGTTTATTCTTGGCTAATTTTTTACAGTCAATCTTTATAGATTTCAATATGAACATGGTGAGGTAATTATCTCTTCTCTATTTGTAGGCACCGACCATTGGGCCATTGAATTAAAGGGTCGTAGAACCTCAGGCAACAGGTGAGGTGCCATGGATCTGGGTCATTGGAGGATTATTCGACGTCCTTAGCGTAGCCTAATGAGATCACATAAACATTGAACTATCGGCCACTTGGGCGTCTTTCCGTAATGACGTCGCACTGATGGGTTATTGAATTATTGGGCCGCGTAAACAAATAATATCTGCGTCCTTTCACAATTACCTACAACAAGCACCCTCTTGTCTGTGAAGCAAGACCCTCGTTTGACTTGACGGCTGTGCATGATCTTTCCTTTGAAGGAATCTAACCCAGGATAGTCGGGCATGTAACCAGCAGGATACAGGCCAGTGCACACCATCACAGCGTCGAACACCTCGCTTCTTATCTCGCCAGAGATTGGGCGGACTGTTACCTTCCACTGACCGGTGTTATTGTAGTCATCGGCCTGGTCGATGGACACGACTTCGACATTGAAGTGGATATGCTTGAGAAGATCGAAGTGATTGGCATACCGCTCGTAATACTCTTGTATGTCACTTGCCTTAGGAGTAATAAAAAAACTAAATTTAGGTAAGATTTAAACTTGTTATGTATATTGAGGTAATGATGTCAGTTGCATCTGTATCACACTGATCCTTACGGTAATCATTATAACCCGAGGGTTATGTGCAATATAATTATTCTAAACAATGTTTGGAATGTACAATATGTAAGAGATGGATTAGTATAAAAAAAAATAATCACCATTCTTAGTATTCTTGTCACAGCTTTTCTTTGCATGCCGTTGCGTAACGGGGAGAAGGGAAGGGCACATGTTTTAGGGGGGCGTCACTTGAAGTTGTACAAATATACAAAGGCCCTCAAATAAAAATGAATATAAAGGTGTTTAAAAAAAGGTTCCCATGAAAAACGATTGCTTTTCAGTTTTCAAACACCCTTGTATTAAAAATAAGACGAGAAACCGCTGAATAGTTTGGACCGATCTTTTCATGCAACATGTGTGTGTGTAGTCCCATATAGCTAGTTCGGTGCCCAGTGCATATGACCTCCATCAAATTTGGGCCCATTTTTTATTATGCTGATTCTCAAGCCACACGATACACACCAATTGTTATATACATGTAGGCCTAAAACAAAATCTCCGCAAACGCTTCTAAGTTCTAGACAACTTCTTTCGCAATGTGACCGCTTGACTAGAACTAATATTTTCCTGCTAAATTTATGCCGCAGGCCATTACGTAGACGAAGCTCAAGCGGTAAATGGGGTTAAAGCCCCACTGCACGACTTGTAGCTACTTGAGCCCTCTATATAGCAAACATTGCCTTGTCGTTGACCATGCATTGATCCCCCATGGTCCCCTTTTTTCTTATGTTAATTGAGAGCTGATTTGATGAGATAACCACCTGTCAGTGACCATGCAGGGAGGTCTAATCCCTCCTGCCCAAACTAGTGCGGTGGGGCTTTAAGATATCCAGTTAACAACTAAATTATTCACACCCTTACCAAGCTTTGTAATTTTTGAGGTATGTGAAAAATGTATTTGTCCCAATTTATGAGTCTTGAGAATGTGACATATCAAAGCTTACATCTATAAGTATTCAACAAAGGCCCTAATTCTTGAGTTCTGACAGAAACAAAAAACATCAAATGTACAAAGTTATAACTTAGATGTTAACTACTGTACGTGAGCAGTGGAATAAATCACTAAAAGACTACCCTTGGGAAAGGCGGTAGAGACTTCTTCATTGGAAAGTCTGAGTAAGCCATCATTTCCTTGGATACGTTGGAATGAAGACCGTAGTAGATAGCTGCAGGTCCGTGCGGATCAGATCGAGGATCATCATCAGAATAATACCATAAACCACCTGATCAAGGTGAGAGAGAAAACAGAAACGGAAAATATTAACTAGAGCTGCAATGGCATTAGAACGGTATGCATGCATTGACGCCATGTTTTTACATGGCAGAAGAAATAGGGTCTCTTGGACTATTTCAAGGTATCTATTAGGAGTCTGCAGCATCTATACTGCTTTCAAACTGGCTTCTATCGGAGTCACACCGATAAAATACCGATTGAATTTCCTTCCCGGAAGTGAAGAATTATTACGTAATTATTAAGCCTGCGCCCATCTAGCTAGCATGCAGCATGTTCAACAAAAAGTCAAGAAACACAGCTGGTTACTATATTTACCGGTATTTTAATCACTGTTTTCTCCAGAACGAATTCACAGTGGCTGTTTCATCGGTGTCACACCAATAGAATGAGATTTTAATCGCATATTTCTCTTCTTTTCATCTGCTATTTCTCTTCTGTAGCATTCATAGTGGCCGTTTGAGGTCAGTTTGAAAGGGGTATATAGTCCAGAATCTGTCTTGTTCCTGACATTCCCTACACACTTGATTTGAGTCGCAGAAGATGGCGTTAGCAGCGAACTCATAATAATGCTCACCAGCTAGATAATAAGGATCAGCGTGAGACCACTACTACATCTACTACAAAACAACTGCCATTGATGATAATGCTGATGATCACTGGCGTACTAATGGGGGGGGGGGGGGGGGGGGGGGGGGGCTTTGGGGGCAGTTTCCCTTCCCAAATAAAATTCAAACATGGTTTATTTATAATTCTATATACAAATATTGCTGAAACGACATGATTTTTGTTTGCGTTTGTTGGAAAATGACAAATTCCTTAATTATAGTCAGGCCAAAAAGTGCCCCTTTTTTCATAGGAAAGATGCCCCCTTTTACTTCCGATAAGCCCCCCCCCTTCAAATTATTTCAAGTAGGTGCCCGTTCCACATTCTTATAAGTGCCTCTATCCAACTCTGATGAGAGTCCCTTTACCTCTGATAATTGCCCTATTTAAATCTGAGAGGTTCCCATTTTACTTTAACAGGTGCCCTTTTCTTTTGTAGTAAGTGCCCCTTCGTCTTCAGATAAGTGCCATTTATTTATCCTTGATGAGTGCCCCTTCTCACCTCTAATAAGTGTTTCCTTTTTTTATTTTGACACGTGCCCCCTGCTTTTTCGTTCTAGTAATAAGTGCCCCCTACTTTTTTGTTCTAGTAATTGCCCTTTTACCTTCTCACAAATGCTCCTACTCCTACGTCTTATAAATACCTTTATTAAAATCTCATAGTTGCCCCTTTTCCTACAACAAGTGCCAAATATCGTTTTTTTAATAAGTGCCCCTTTTTATTCTCTCAAGTGCCCCTATTCATCTCAGGTGAGTGCCCCTTTTCAGGTACAAGAAGTACAGCTTATTCGCCTCTTATAATTGCCCTTTTTCAATTCTGAGAGGTGTCCCTTATATTTTGACAAGTGCCTCTTTTTTATTCTTATAATTGCCCGTTATTTTGACGCGTGCCCCTTATCCTTCCTTATTAGTGCCATTTTCCTTCTGACAATTGCCCCTAATCCTCCTTTATAATAAGTGCCTAATTTTGAAGAAGAAGAAGAAGAAGATCCATCTCTATTATCCAAAGAGTTCGGAGCTCCCTGGAATTGCACTCCAGCAAAGCATCGCGAGTCAATGCTAATGCGTATTGACCTTTAGCAACTCATACTTGCTGTGAGGCAGGTATTATTAATATTAGACCTACACAAATATACACACCGCACAATATTTCATAGACTGCACACAATAGGACCGACTTGGGCTGATCGGCAAATTTGACACTAAACTTACAATTTGAATTTTTAAATTATTCTTTTTAACATCAGTAAGTTGAAAAAATGTATTTTACTGCTATTTAGGTGTCATCAATTGTCACTAAAGTACCGATTTTTAGTGAAATCAGTTGAGTTTTGTATAGTGGTGTTTGAAATGTTTAGAATCAAAAGCACATCTTTTACTTTACTACACAGACAGGATAGGGATGCTCCTAGATTCTATGTGTGCTGGAATTGAACAGTTCCTTGACTTACCCAAGTGGGACGTACGCTCGTAGCATACAGGTTGTAACCCTTCGTCGAGACATGTTTTAATGGAGGGGAGGCCCGAAGCTCCAGCACCGACCACCGCTATGCGACGAGCCATGTTCAATCTCGAATTCGATGGACACTATTCAATGCCCCTCATCGGTTTCAATAAAACAGCACAAAGTGGTCTGCATTTAATAGCACCCTATGCACCCGCGTACGCACTCGCACAAGATGGAGAGAAAGAGCTAGAAAGATACTTGTTTTTGTTCTTCTTCTGATTAGTCTAGGGACTTTTAGAATTGCACGTTGACAGCCTTGACTGCAACGTGTGACGTCATTTTAAGGCACTGCGCATGCGTCACACCGTCTCAGTCGGCGATCGAGAATGCGTCAACATTGATTTTCCTCAATCTAGTACGGTACTAGTATATGCCGCGTGCGCATAAAAAATATACAGTTCCTCCAGGGACATGCCCTGGTTCCTCAGGTAGACAAAGGAACATCCCTTCCCTGCTATTATGTAAAAATGTGAAGAACAGGTGTCACATGCATGTTCACCTATTCTACACATTTTTACATAATAACAGCAGGGAGGTGACATGCCCTGATAACAGTGAAGGGATGTTCTACCACGTAGCAATAGGCCATTTTCGTTATGTAACCAAATTTAATGCACAGGTCTTTGTGAAGTGCCTCAATACAAACTATTTCTTTCACCTGATAGGAATAATAGTATTTCAATAGACAGAATCCTAACTGCATACATTATAGTTGTTGCCAGCTAGGTTGGACAAACATTATGGCTTGACCTACCTAGCAACACTTAATATATGCAGTTGCATTCTGACTATTGAAATACTATTATTCCTATCAGGTGAATTCAATAATTTGTATTGAGGCACTTCACAAAGACCTATGCATTAAATTTGGTTACATTACGAAAATGGCCTATTATTGAGAGTAGAATGAGGAACTGTATATTTTGTCCTCTTTCTTTGTCTGTCATGTTTATATACTTCCTACATGCATGTATATCGTTGAGTGCAATCTAAAGATTTCTAATTGTAGTCAACATGGGCAGTTGAGTACGTTGACACGCATGGTCAGTTGGCGTTCGTCGTGTTCTCGTCCACTCATTCTAAAAGTCCCTATTAAGTCTACGTCTGCCGCCTTCAAATTGACTGAAGAGTCTTGCAAGTTCTGAAAACCCTGTAATGCACGTCAAAACACATAGCATTGATGACTACATGTATGTGTTGCTGAAACGAAATATCCATTCAATAGAGCTAGCTGGGATATATTTGTCTCGAAAGAATGCGAAGTACATGGTTTTAACAAGGCACCCTTTCGGAAAACGCACTCTTTCGAAACAAGTGGGCCTCTACCAGATGATGGGGCTTTTGTCGAAAGGATGCCTTGACTAGTCTTCCACATCAGTCGTTTATAATCGAATTTAAGGAATAGAAATTTAAATCGTCTAAATTGAAATAATCAAAATTGAAACAGATAGAAAATTAAATAAAACTACTTTCATGCAGTCTTGCGGATCAGGCGTTTTAAAGAATTAAATCAATATATAACAAGAAACACAATAAAATAATTAAAGGTAATACAACGTTTCGGTATGGGGTCGTGAATTTGGTTCAAACATAAAGGCGTACAACAAAATGGTTCAAATGAACATATCGGAAGCATATGCGATTTTACAATATTCAATGATCGTTAATTGTCGCGGTTGAAATCGAGTCTAAAGTGATGAAATTGTAAACAATTAATAACCTCTTATTATATAGCTCCCTCTCAAGACTTATATTACTTTAGCTTTAAAACAATTAATGTGTCTTGACTATACAATCGACCGATTTGATATTCCCGTTTGGAAACTATATATCAGAACTGCATAAAAGTGAGATTTTCATGGTCGCAACTCGCAAGCTACCATGGAATGGCCTTAAGCGCTATTTTAAATCTACCGGGAGCACCTGTAAATTTTGTATCATTCAATTTCTAGTTTTCTAGTGCTTATAATACATCCACAGCAGGATCCTAATATATTACATTTGTAAAAAAATACTATCCATCCAATTTTCAAAATGTCCTCAAACTTTGCATTACCTTTAATAAATGAATGTAGTTTACTAATCGGAGAGTAAAATGGAATATGTATGAAACCATGATATATACTACTAAGGGATGAGTATTGAACAATTCATTTCTTTACGCATGCACAAACGAAGAAAGAAAAGAAGAAAATTGAACGTCTACTTTTTTTTTTATAAAGAACAAATTAGGAAGAAAGGATCGAAGAGGGAGGTGGGAAGAGGGATGAAATACAGGAGGGAGAAGGATAAAGGACGGGGAAAGACATGAAATGTATCAGTGGCGGATTCAGGGGGGGGGGGCACAGGGGGCAAATGCCCCCGGTAGAAAAAAGGAGGAAGGGGAAGGGGGAAAAAGAAAAAGGGAGAAACAGAGTAAAAGGAGGAAAAAAGAAAGAATAGGGAAGAAAGAAAGAAGAAGAAAAGAGGGAGAAGAGATGAAGGGGAGATGAGAACAAGAAGGAGGAAAGGAAGAAAGAGAAGCGAGAGGAGAGAAAAGGTGGGAAAGGAAGAAATGGGAAAAGACGGAGGAGAGAGAAGGGGGAAAAGGAGAATAATGAGAAGGGAAAAGAAAGAAAGGGGAACGATATTACCAGAAGGTTTTTTTTTTACCGGGAAAGGGGCGGGAGGGGGGGGGGCACACAGTTATGCAGTGTGCATGATAATTATGAGGTCTCTCATGCCAGGCGTGTAGCCCCCCCCCCCCCCGCAAAAAAAAAAAAAAAAAAAAAAGCACAAGAAGAACCCCAAAAAAGAGATGGGAAAAGGGGGGAAAGAGAGAAAGGAAAAAACTGAAAGAGAATTAAACAACGATAGAAGAGAGGTGCGAGAGCATGAGGAATTGCATTTTTTAAATAAAGAATAATGGGAGAAAAACCAGGGTCGTCGCTAAATGGGGTCCTTGAGGAAGGTGCCTATCAGGATATTTTTGGTAGAATTGCGCCGCTGAATGAAGAAAGGGTAAGGGGGAAATGAGAGTGAAAGGGAAAGAAAAGAAAAAAAGAAAAGGAAAAGAAAAGACACGATACAACGAATCGTCTGCTTTCTCTAATAATTGAGGAAAACATCAAAGCAACTGAATTCAGACAAGGATTAAGAACGGAGTTGAGAACGGTACAACGAATCGTCTGCTTTCTCTAATAATTTGATGAAGAGTCAAAACTTCCGCGCTTCGCATGGGAGGGGAAAAACTGAAAGATAACTATAAGTTCTGGCCCTGGGGTTAAATTTGTAGACATTGGGACGTTGGCATTAATTCATTTGTCGGTAATTGGTGGCTCTACGCCCCCTCCCCCCACCACTGAAAAGGTCTAGCGACGCCCCTGATAATAACACAGTTCATACATTCGAGATAAGTTTTGCAAGTATACTGGTGAAGTACCGACCACCGCCTTTGTGCATGGTGCAGCAACGAAGCATATTCAACGTCTCACGACGTGACAGATCACTTTTCTCTAACTTCTAACCAATCAGAAGGCCTTGGTTTTTTCTCCAGAAAGTGCCGATGGACATTAATGAGCCAAATGTGGTTCTCAAATTGCCAAAGATCCCTACTCTTGGAGCGGGTAGGAGAAAGCAATAATTACGTCATATTAGTTGACTCCGGTAAGTGCCTGAAAATGCGTCTTATGTGGTTCTAAACTTGCAAATGCTTCCTACTCTGGGAGGGGGTCATGGTCCGCCACTGATGCCCATACTCCTTGAGCTTCCTTGAGCTTGACTCCACAGCGGGGGTGGGTCTGGAGTAGGAAGCATTTGCAATTTTAGAACCACATTAGACGCATTTTTAGGCACTTGATTTTTATTTGACAAGCTTCCAACATACAACAATATACAATAATAACAGATCAAAAATTAGTAAGCTTGAACAGGATAACCCGCGAAAGAGAGATTATTTCCAGTGGGGTCCCTTACAGACATGTATAAAATTAATAAGTTAAAATAGTAACATTTACTATGACGTAAAATTGCTTTCTCCTACCCACTGTATAAATATGTGAAATAAATAAATAAATAAATGAATAAATGTACCTATATGGAACGTTCGTTCGCAAATCTGTGCATGCACAACCCAAGTGGTGGGTAGCATGTTTTCTCCCGGCAATGCTTGTCGCATTAGCTTCTGGAAAGGAATTTTCTAACAGTGTTACTGTTAGTGTTAGTGGCCACTAAGGCCCATTCGTGACTATATTTATATGCTCTTCCTGGCTATTTGGGAATGTGTCAGTTTGCAACAGGAATGAAAAAACGCGCATTTTGTTGAAAATCATGTGATATCACGAACATTTATAAATCACTTGTATGGAACTGATAATAAGTCATGGTTTAATTGTATTGGGGAGAAGGGGGGCTGGCGACCCCCCCCCCCAACTACGCCAGTGAGTACAACCTAATCAGTTCTATACATTTGATGTATCATACAGTGACCTTGAGACGACCTTCACCAGGCTGATGTCATTGCTAAAAGACATTCAGCGTGTTACTATTAGTTATACTGAATTTATCCGGTTAATATTTTTACCAGAAAATAGCGTATAATGCCAGAGAAAGGCAGCTTTTATCTACGCGCTAATGACTTCTACTAAGCACACAAACCACCAATGTTCCATGGCGAACATAGTTATGAGGACGCTAGACTAAATACTGTTTCAAACGTCGACGATCGATCTCTGGCTACTTAAAGACCGTCAGTACTAGTATGGCTAGGAGGGATTAGACCACACAGCGAGGTCACTGACAGGTGGCTATCTCATCAACTCAGCTCTGAAATAACATAATAAATAGAGGATCATGGGGGACCAACAGGCACCGATTGGGGAAGTTTTCTCTATAGAGGGAGCAAGTAGCTACAATTAGGACAGTGGGGCTTTAAGTTAAAATTTCGCTTCAAAAACATCATTTATTTTCAATTTTTTAAGATAGTAAATAATTCTAAATTTTTATGACACTTTCAGACCTTATTAATTATACTCAATGCAAACACCATCCAGTCTGATTTACTCACGTTTTGCAAAGCTAAAAAAGCACTATACACAATAACAGAAAAAGGGGTGTATTAGTCCTCCACCATGGGAAAGTCATTTTCATCACTCGGGCAAAGTCTGATTATCTGTATCAGGCGCGTACGCAGGGGGGTTGGGGTTAACCCCCCCCCCTTGTGTTTTTTTTATGTGTATGTTTTGTGTATGATTTTGTGAAA